TGATGGAGGTGGGGGAACCAAAAGGTACTGATACTGCTACTCCCCAGACGTCTCCCAGGGTGTGGCCTGAGCAGAATCCCGAGGCGAATCCAGCGGTGGCGACGAGGGCCTCCCAGGAGGCCCAAAAAGGCGAGAACGAGGAAGGAGTCGCCGTCGTCACCGTCGCCGTCGTGGTCATCGTTATCGTTATCGTCGTCGTCGTCGTCGTCGTCGTCGTCGTCGTCGTCGTCGTCGTCGTCGTCGTCGTCATCTTGCGCCCTCCAGGTGCCTGGGGGTTCGGGGGCGCCGGCGCAGGCAGCCCGCCTCAGCTGTCAGAAGGCGCGCGCCAGTGCGCCAGGGAGGCAACGTCGCTGTCGCCGTCGGGTCGAACCCCATTCTTAGAGGCCTCCCAGATGGGGCCCGAGTACATGGGGTCGGAGGATCGCGCCGCATCGCCGATTTATCGCCGATGTATCGGCGATGCACCGCCGACGTCGGCGATGCATCGGCGACGTCCGCGTGGAGAAAATCGGGCTCCGCATCGAGCCGCATCGGAGATGCATCGGCGATGCGGCGCGATCCTCCGACCCCATCTGACCCGACCCCACCTGGAAGGCCTAGAATGCTGCTGGGCAGCCCAAGGCCCCAAAGAAGCCGTTGTCCTATTCCAGGTGTGCGCATGTGACCCAGCGCTGCAGCCTCCTTGTCGACAACATGCTCACCAAAGAGGGCCGCCGCATCATTCGCACGATTCCCGCGCAGCCTGTGGGGACACTGTGCCTGCTTTGAGGGTTCATTGGGGCCGCGCCGGTTCCCTGAGGGCGAGGGGCTCGACGTCCGCGACCCAACGTCCCCTGGAGCCCTGGCCCCAACACCCCCACCAATCTCCTGAAGGATTTCTGGCCTAGAGTGAAGCCACAAACAGCCATGTCTAAGCCCTCATGACGAAGGCCTCGCCAACACGCGGGCTTGATTCCTGCATAGGATTGCCGCCAGTCGCTTGAACTCTCCCGATGCGCCTTCGGAGTGGGACTCCACGGCGACTCCAGCCGCGGCGACGAGGGCCTCCACATGAGGCCCCCAAAGGGCGAAGACGGGCCGTCGGCATCGGCACCAGCATGCCCGCCCTCCTCGGACGAGAACCCTCCGAAGAACCACCGAACCAAACAGAAAAGAAAAGCCGACCCCGATGCAGTCAGGCAGCCTCTGACACCCAGGGGAGAGGCAGCGAGGAGGGGAGGAGAAGGAGAATGAGAATGTCATGCCTCCACGCAAACGCAACGCATTGCACCTGAGAGGGTGAGTCCAGTCCCGCACGGATCTCTGGTTCAGACGAGGGGGAACGGGGGGTGAGGGAGGACGGGTGGAGGAGCAGGAGGGTGGAGGAGGAAGGGATAAGAGAAGGCAGGGAGGAGAAGGAGGAGGAGGAGGAGGAGGAGGGGGAAGGAGAAGGGAAGAAACGGGGCTGGGAAAATCACGCGGTACCGAGACTGCTGCTCCCTGGCCCTCTCCTGGGGTGCCTTCTGGCCAGAATGCCGAAGCGGATCCAGCGGTGGCGACGAGGGCCTCCTAGCAGGCCCAAACAAGCGGAATCGAGGCAAGGGTGGCGGTATGGTATCGGCACCCCTCACACCTCCGAGGGGCAGCGGTATGATATCGGTACCTCTCCCACCTCCGAAGAGCGACCCCTGCACGCCCCTCCCCTCCTCGAGCTGAACCAAAGAGGCTGTCGAGGCCCCCCCTCCCCCCGCCGGGCTGCGAGCGGGGTCTGCTGGAGGCCGTCCGAGCGCGGCGCCCGCGGCCGCGAGCCGCATGTACGCCTCAGGCGTCATGCCCAGCTGCGCGGCCTTCTTCTCCACCTCGGCACCGCGGGGCGCGGACTGGGGCGCCCCTCGGGGCGAGGGCCTGGGCATGCTCGCGTCGTGCCACAAAAAATCACGACGGAAGGTTTTGGCCTCTTTTGGCGTCGGTCCAGGGAGCAATCAAAAACGATTCGGGGCGAAAAACTGGCCCTGGGGGAAGAGGTCGGGACTCGGGGGGACCGCGGATTGAAAAAGTCAGGTCGCAGCATGTCTGGGGAGGGAGGCCTCGGCTCCCTCTTCGTCCTCGTCGTCCTCCTCCCCCCTCGTCCTCCCCTTCCCCCCCCCATCCTCCTCCGTCCCCCTCCTCCCTCATCCTCCAGCGCTCGGCTGCTGCTGCTGCTTGCCCGGTAGGTGGGCTTCTAGACTGGATCTAGCTGGCGTGGGCATCAGGATGGAAGAGGGATGGTGGAGGGAATGGGGACGGGACAGGAGGGAAAAGCGATGGGGGAGACAGGGCATGGGCAATGATATATATATATATATATTATATATGTATATATATATATATATAGAGAGAGAGAGAGAGAGAGAAAAAAAAAGAGAGAGAGAGAGAGAGGGATCGGGACAGGAGGAAGGAGGAGGACGTCGGGGATGGGGAAGAGGGACGGGGAGGAGGACTGGGAGGAGGCGGGCGGGCTGGGGATCTCAATTATTGTTCCCGCCCTCCGCTCTTTCACCCTGGGCGGTATGCAGGTGCAGCGTCTGACCAGCGCCAGTCAACTGAGGTGGGGGCCAGCCAACTGACCAGGGCCGTCCACACCCCCCTAGTTACTTTTTTTCTGTTCTTCTGTCTGCCTGCCCTTCCACCCTGCTCTCTGCTGTACCCCTGTTCCCTCCGCCCTCCTCCTCCCCCCGCTGTCCAGATTGGTCTTTCCGTTTATGAAGCGCGTCTGGTCAAAGGACGCACTGTCATCACCTGGTGCACCTTACCCTTCAGACCTCCGACAACTCGGCTGTTGCCCTCTCGACCCCTGGCCCCCTCCCCTCAGGCAACTCGGCTTTCCCGCTGGTCCCCCCTCTCATCCTGAGCCGCTCCCCGACGGCCCTGCAGGACCCAGACAGCGGCCTGGCGGCCGGAGAGCGCAAGAAACGGCGAACAACCTCTGGCACAACTGTTCCAGGTCAGACTTCTTGGATCGGCGCTGGGTCTCCCTCTCGGGCGCGCGAAGCGCGCTGGGGGCGGCGCCGGGAGCGCCGCAAGGGGGGCCCGGCGCAGAGCCAGGAACTCCGCGCGGAACTCCGAACGCTCACGTTCATTCAGCAGTCTTTCTCGAACCTGGAGAGGTAAGGAGATACAGATACCGCTACGCTCCGGATCTCGCCCGAGGTGCGTTCTGACCAGGATTTCGACGCGAATCCCCCCGTGGCGACGACGGCCTCACAGGAGACCCAAAGAAGCAACACCAGGGAGGCGGGGTAGCGGTATTGGTACCTTTCCCTCCTCTGGAACCGTTGCCCCCGAGCTCAGCAGAGAGACGTCTGGGCCGACCTCACAAATCTGGGCCCTCCCCCTCCCTCCGCCCCGCGGCTCACCTGTTGAGCAGGCCTACCACGAAATGTTCGCAGAAACTAGAAATGTTCGAAAAACAAAAACCATGTTCTTATAACATAAACCCGATGTGTGAAAACAGGACAGTCCCAGCCAGACGCGTTCTGAGAACATCTCGCGCAGACCACAAAAGGTTCTCAGAACACTCCTTGGTGGGCCTATAGGTACGCCAAGACGCTTCGCCACTGCTTGATACCCGTCCCTCCGCCCCCCTGCCCACCTGCGCTACCGTTAGGCCGGGCATGTCCCCCTACAGGCGGATCTTGGACGAACGGGGGAAAATACCTCAACAATTCTATATATTTAAAAAAATGTCAAAAAATCGTCCCCTGATTTTTTTTGATTATTTTTTGAACATTCCCCCTGTAGAAAGACAGGCCCGACTTAAGGCTACCGCCGTGACCCGCCTCGCTCCCTCGCGGCGCGCCGGCTGCTTCTGCGGGCCCGGCCCCTGCCCCCCTATCGGGCCTTGGGCGAGGATCGAGGCTCGATCGAGGATAGAGCATCGATCGAGGATCGAGGATCGAGGATCGAGGATCGCGGATCGAGGATCGAGGATCCCGGATCGAGGATCCCAGATCGAGGATCGAGGATCCCGGATCGATCGAGGAGCCGCGGTGGCTTCGGGAGCACGGCACCGCCGGAGCTGCTCGGTGCTCCCGGCGCCCTGCAGCGTCGTGGACCCCGGCCCTGGGCGCCCGTGGCGGCGGCTGCTCTGTCGCTGCGCGGGGTGCGGCTGGCCCGCTCCGCTCGCCTCGCGCACCGCGCGAGAGGCACAGCGACCAGCGGGCCTCTCAGACAAACTGGACAAAGCCGCCAAGGCCGCACTCTGGGAGCGCGCCGGCCTTGCCACCAGGGCCCACCTCTCGCTGGTGAGCGCAGAGGGCGCCTGCGGCTGGCTGCAGGCGCGGCCCTGCGCCGAGGTCGGCACGGCTTTCCCGCACGGCTTGATGCAGGTCGCTCTGCAGAGGCGCTTGCGGGTGCAGCTGGCGAGCGAGGAGGCCTTCTGCCCGGCCTGCGACGGCGTCATGGACGTCTACGGGGACCACGCGCTGGTGTGCCCCTGCCGCGGGGACCGCGTGAAGCGGCACAACGCCCTCCGCGACGAGGCCTTCTTCGCCGCGCAGGCAGCGGGCTTCCCGGGCGCCGAGCTCGAGCGGCCAGGCTTGCTGCAGCCCCGCGAGCGAGGGGAGGGCCCGCCCGGGACGGAGGCCAACGGCGGCGAGCTCGACGAGAGCGGCCGGCGCCCAGCGGACGTGTACATCCCCCGCTGGCGCAACGGCGTCCCGGCTGCCCTTGACTTCGCGGTCACCTCCGGGCTGCGGGCCGACCTCCTTGCAGCCTCGGCAGCCGCGCCGGGAGCCGCCGCCGAGCGCTACGAGGAGCAGAAGCGCCAGTTCCTCGACACGGCGCGCAGCTGCAGCGCGGCCGGCGTCACCTTCGTCCCCATGGTGATGGAGGCGCACGGCGGTGCCTGGGGCAAGGAGGCACGCCGCGCGTTAGCCGTCCTGGCGAAGCGCGCGGCGGACGCCACGGGGGAGGACCCCGCCATCGTGGCGGCGGAGCACGCCCAGCGACTCTCGCTTCTTCTGCACAGGGAGAATGCGCGGGCCGTGCTCCGCAGGCTGCAGGCCCCGCACAGGGCGCCGGCAGCCCGGCTGGCCGCGGCGACGGCGGCGCGGGCGGCAGACGCCGCGTAGGCCGCAGGCCTGACGCCCAACGACGACCACGACCACCCCCGGCCACGACCACCCCAGACGCCCTGCCCCGACGATCCCCTCCCCTGACCCAGACCACGACCACGAGCACCTCCGACTGAGACCACGACTACAACCGCCCCCGACGCCCTGCCCTGACGTCCCCGCCTGATTCAGACCACGACCACGACCGCGACCACGACAATGACCTCCCCCGACCACGACCGCGCCCACCCCCCACGCACTGCCCGACCCCCCTTGGCCCAGACCACGACCACGACCGCCCCCGACCGCGACCCAACCCTGCCTGACGACCGCGACCGCGGCCACTCCCACGACCACCCGCGCCCCGCCGCCCCTGCTTTACCTGCTTGCTGTTGCGCCTGCTGCTGCCCCCCCCTCTCCCGCTCGCTGCCCGCGCTCGGTTTTTCCTGTCCTCGTCGTCCTCCTCCTCCTCCTCCTCCTTGCCCGAACTGGTGGCCCGAATTTCGGCCACGCTCGCCAGGCAGTTTCTGACAGCGAGTTTCGGCGCGCATTCGGCGCGTCGAGACACCTGCGTTGCTGGACCATCGGTCCACGTGATAGTCGTATTTGTCATATGCCGCCCTCCAGAGTTGAGTTGTCGAAGCTACGGAACATACGTATCGGCACAACCCTTGGCACGAGAGGCCGTCTGCGCTCGGGCGCTGCCGCGGATCGCGGTGCTCCCTCGGCGCTCTCGCGCTGGCGGTGGGTGGCCGTGGACGGCCGTGCTTTCCCCGCGTGCGTGATCGGCCCTCTCGCGTCCGTCAAGCCTGCGTGGCGTGCACCTGACGTGGCCGCGGCCCGGCAGGGCCCCGAGCATTTTGCGGCCGAGGCCCGGCAAGGTCTCACGCCTCTGCGACAACAAAAAAAGCCTCCCGTCCTCTGCCCTGGTGCCAGGGAGGAGGAGGAGGAGGAGGAGGAGGAGGAGGAGGAGGAGGAGGAGGAGGAGGAGGAGGAGGAGGAGGAGGAGGAGGAGGGGTCTCCGCAGCGCGTGCACGTGCATGCTGGACCCGAGGCCCTCGGCTCTGTTGGCAGCGAGGCGCCGGCTCCAGCACCTTGCGGCACCGGGCCAGGAGAAAGCCGACGCCGTGGGCGTCGTGGTGGAGATAAAATAGGGAATCGAACTCTATACAGGACCGTTTTTAATACATAGGATGTTTGTTAATAGGATTGGTAATACCTGATGAATGTATGAATACATGTATGCATGAACTCGTCGTTGCTTTTAATACTAATCCCTGCATGTTTAATACATGATCCGCACGCGGAGCATGCATTCAAAACGGCACTGTATACACCGACGCTTCTTCCGGCCCTGCATCAGCATTTGCACTGGAGAGCGGATCCGAGGGTGTATGCGGGATCCTGGTGTATACATTCTTCTTTGTTTCCCCGGGGAAGCGGGGAAAAAGGTATACACCACACCACCCCAGCTTCGTCCTCGACCCTGAAGAAATCCTGGGATTGAAAAACCGCCCGCCACTGGTAATGTGTATGCTCCAGCTTCCGATAAAAAAGGATCTCCTGAGAGGTCTTCGTCAGAACGAATAAAAGGCTAGTGAGCCCGAGTAGAGGGTAATAGACCCAGACCAAGACTAAGGCGGATTGAGCGGCATTAAGCCAGATGGCGCGGAATCGGCCCAGATTAATCGGGATTGAACCAAATTAGGCCACTTTCGGTCAGAGATCTATCAGCGCGGATTCTGAATTGAACCTCTCAGGAGTTTCACGCTGAGCGGAGGGAGTCATCATTCCACGACCCTGGCCCCATCTCCGCTTCAACCACTTCGGAATCCTTGCAGGTTTTGTGCGGAGAGCATAACGTCGTTGGCCAAAAATACTACGCACGGCTACACCGGAGGAGGAGGACGCGATACAGTAGGCACAGACGATAAGACATCTCGCTTTGAGACATCTTGGGGAACATGCGTAGCACCCCGCAGTTGCGGATGAGAGTGAGGGGACGGGCGCAGGGAGGGTCGCAGGAGATTCGCGGGTGCTCCGCGGGTGGGTCGGGTGGTGGGTCGCGAGGTGGGTCGCGGATGGTTGTCGCGGGGGACGGCGACGACACAAATAAACATTTTAAGACTATTTGACGTCCGTTGCTTGCGTGTCACTCAACATGTATCCCCCAAGACCTCGATGCCCAACCCGTTCGTCTTCGATCGTGCCCCTTTGGGCGCCTTTGGGCGGTCTAGCATCCTTGCCTGCCACGTGCAGTTAGCGCGGCCTTTCCAATTCAAGGATGGGGCCAGAGGTAGGGAGAGAGCAAGGAAACAAAAAGGAGACGAGGCAGGTGGGGGGCAAGAGGTGGGGAGGAGGATTGGAGGCCAAGACGATTCCGCAGGAGGGGGGAAAAGGGAAGGCCCAAAACTTGAGCATGCGGGCCCTGACGGCCAGGTCCTGCGGGCCGGGTCGGGCGGGCGGACCCATAACACCAGTGGGTCGGGCGGGCGGACCCTCTCGGGCGGGTCGTGCGGGCTGGGCATCGAAGCAGGCGCGAGGACTTCCAAGCACGTGGACAGGCGGACCCTGACGGGCAGGTCGGGCGGGCTCCTCCTAACGAGCTGGTTGGGCAGGCGGGCCCTACGTGCGGGCCGGGCGAGCGGGGCATTGAAACGAAGGATGTTCACGGAGAAACCTCGGGCGTGAGCACGAATCCGTAGCAAATTGTGAGGATGTCTAGTGCGAGAGCGCGGTTCCTGGGCGTCGATGGCGCGGCGACTGAATTAATTGCGAACGCGCGATGCCTGAACAAACTGAATAATTGATCCTCCTCGCGAGAGCGCGAGGCGGATAAATGTCGAAATCGTATCGGGCGGGAGCTGCTGTTGTTGTGAAACGGGAGCCGACAACACAGTTCGACCCTCAACCCTTCCCCTGATAAATGACAGCAAGGTGTGAGCAGCGGGAGGAGCACTCCAACTGAAAAAGCAAAATAGGCACCGCACGAGGGCATCAACAATCAGTACTTTTCTAGAATGAACTCAACAAAGAACAACCAATAAACATACATGATCCGGGCGAGCCCCACCACTAAGTCCCACTTCACCCGCGCGCACAGAGGGGTGCGACCGTTCTGCCCCCCCCCCCCCTCTATGACTAGGTGAATTGCTCCGTTCGCTCCTCCCAACGCCAACGCGAGCATGTCTGGGCCCGACCCCGCGCCGCTGGCAGGGGCTGCCCTTCAGCCCGACCCCCCCGCGCGCTCCCGGCGGCCCCGCCGCGTGAGAGTGCCCCCGCGTCCCGCCCCTTCCTCCACGGCCGCCCTCTCCCCCCTCTTCCGCCCCTGCACGCGGGCAAACAACAGCTCCGCAGCCCCGCTTCGCTCCACGCGCGAGCGGATCGCCTCTGCCGCGCCGCGACGGGAGCATGTCTGCCGGGCGCGGCCCAACCGACCCCTAGCAAACCATCCCCTTCCGAGACGTTGCCCGCGCCTCTCAGGCTCCCCACCTGCCGCATCTACATACAAGCCTTAGGGCGAGGCGAGGGGTACGTCACGGGAGGGGGTGGTTTGCTGGGGATCGGTGAGGCCGCCTTTGATGAAGGGGCCCTGGGACACACAAACAAATACACACAAATAAAAGCATCCCCCATAGTTTCCCATATTTCCTTGGTTTATGTCTCCCCCCCCACTTCCCACATTTCCCCCATATTTTCTGGGGAATCCACGATTGATTGTGTCTGGGTGTTCCTTTCGCTCCTGACTTGAGTCTGGGCCCGACCCTCGAACTTCGAGCTGGTCCAGCGGCCAGCACGCCGCGCCGGCGCGGCGCGGTGACACACCGACGCGCCGGCGCGGCCCGGGGCGCGCGGCGGAGCGGGGCGCGGCGGGGGGCCCCCGCCTCGCTGAGCGGCGCCTCGGGCTCGGGGGGCTTCGGGGGCCTGGCGGGCGGCTGCACCACCTGGGCGGCCAGGAGGGGGCCCTTGAGATCCTGGCGCCTCCGCTATAAGACGACGCCAGGACGAGGACACATTCAGGTGAAATCAAGTCGACACACTCTGAGATCCGGCGGCTCTGGAGAACGTCTCGGGCGCCGCGGCATTCCCTGAGCGTCCCGGAACGCTCTGAGAGCGTTCTGGCACGCTCTGGAACAGATTCATCCTCGTCCTAGCCCCGCCCGGATCCTGACGTCACCATGTCTTCGAGCCAGGCGTTTTCGCCTGGCCTTGGGCCCTGGGCTCTCCTCCTTCTCCTCCTCCGCCGTGGGCTCGTCACCTCCTCCCTGTTTCTCCTTCAGCTGCTGCTGCTCATCCCTGCTTGTTCGTCTTCGTTCTATAGCCCCCGGAGTCTCGACTGCCTCGTCTTCGTTCTATAGCCCCCTGGAGTCCTCCTCTACCTCATCCTCCGTCTCATCCCCCTCTCTTGCCTATCCCACTCCTGTTTCTTCCCCCTCTCACAACATCGCCTATCTCACTCCCCCCTGCATCCCCCTCACATTCCATTCGTGCTCCTCATTTGAAAGACTCCTCCTCGTCGTGACACCAGACGGGTGACGGTAGAGAGGGCCGAGTATTTCGCCTACGACTTCCTCAGCGTGCATGGCCCTGAAGCGTGACATCTCCAACAGTATCACTGGTGAGTGCTAGATCACTTTGCACGGACGGTGGGCACTCCGTGATATTGATGTTGCTCTCGCTCGCCTCATCGCCGCGCGCATTCTTCATGCGATGTCCCAGCAAACACGTGTTTTTCCCTCGGCGGCGGCGCGAAATTGGCTGCACCAGCGAAGGAGCTAGACGGGAGTCCCGAAAAGCGAATTGGCCAGCATTCAAGCGGGCCAGCACATGCGTACACGAATGAGTGGCATGTGGTTTTCGACGTGTGAGCCCCGCCTCAGCGCCGCGCGGCATCGTCTCAGCAGCGTCAACAGTCATACGGATGGGGCGGGGGAAGCTTGTTGCAAGTGGGGGGGGGCTCTCGCTTCAGCGCCGCGCACTTTCGATGGTGCTGCCACACGCTTTATTAACTGGGGAGGCTGAGCACGTCAAAACCCGACGGCCGCGCCTCTGGAAACTTCACAAGGGACAGTTGTACGGAGATGTATATATAATAATAATAATAATATAGAAAGAGAGAGAGAGAGAGCAGACAATCCACCCTCATAATAATCATCTCGACACTCAAAGCCATTTACTAAACGCACCCAATGAAGGAATCGAACAGGGCAGAGCTGCTTTGTAAACGCCCAGGGCCATGTAGTAAACGCCAGTGCTCGGGTCCAGGTGGCTTTTTCCCCCATTGATTATGCTTGTTGTCTTGTCCGACTGAAATATCACGATCATGGTCCACATTATGGAGCGAAACATTGCATACACATAAAAACTCAAAGGTCCGCGCGGATTTCTCGGATCGGCGCTGGGGCCCCTCGGCGGCGCCTCCTTCACCGCCCTTGGCGCGCTCCGCGCGCCAGAGAGGGGATCCAGCGCCGATCCGAGAAATGCGCGCGGACCTTATGCCGTTTTTCCGTTCTCCTAAATTTTGCGCATTAGACTCCACAGGAGCGGCGGCAGCGGCGAGCGAGCCTTCGGGCCGCTCCCAGCCCCAGATGCGGGGCAGCAGCGGCAAGCAACAAAAGGCGAGAGGCGCACCGGCGCCACAGCGAGGGGCGGCAGAACGGTGCGGCAGGGCGCAGCCCCACCATCGACCTGGGAGTGGCGGCGGGTGTACCCCACGGCCCACGCATGCGCGCGGAGTGGGGCACCACGGAGGGGGGGGGCGCTGCAAGTCCAACATCGCTTCGCCTTCGTGACCCCGGGGATTCGAAATGTGGGGCTCTCGCCTCGGAGCCGCGAGCACCCCGCGTCGGACAGCGGACAGTCGCGGCGGCAGCTGCGAGCGAGCCTTCGGGGGAGGCTTCATGACCTGCGGCGAGTGGTCCGCCTGGCCGCCCTGCTCCTGGCCGGGGGGGTGACGGGCGGTCGCCGCAGTGCGCAGGGACGCGGAGCGCCGCTGCGCCTGACGCCTCCTCCCTGTCCCCCTCCCTCCTTCTCCCTCCTCCTCGTCTTCCTCATCCCGCTCCCTCCCCCTCCCGATCGCCCTTCTCCCTCCTTTTCCTCCTACTCCTCCCTCCCCCTCCCTCCCCCTCCCCCTCCCTCTTTCTCCCCTCCTCCTCCTCCTCCTCCTCCTCCTCCACTTTCCATTATGTGGGCGATGTTGGCAGCTGTGGTGCGTCTGGCGAACATCGTCGGACGTCCTTTTGTTTCAGGGAGGGCACTCACACTGCGTGCCCTCCATTGAGTCCGCGTGCAAGCCGCGTTTCGGCTTGCCATCGTTTGTTTAACGATCAGGCCCCAATGGGATCACTGATGGAACCACTTTCCGTTCTTCTCCCTTAGAGACAACCCCTCCTATGTCGCACCCCGAGACGTGTCCGCAGGGCATGCCGGGTGTGATGCCTGAGACTTCCAAACCAGCAATGATCCTCAAGCTTGGAACTTGCAACAGCTTCACGGATGGAGGGCGGGCCGCTGTCAAAATTACGCTCCCGTCTTGGCGCCGCGCACGTTCGTGTTTAGTATGCAAGAATTTCACGGATTGAGGGCGGGCTGTTGGCTAGTGTTCCAGAAATTGTCTTCTAGAGCGATGTAAGACTGTCAAGGCGAACCAGTTATGTTGGCTCGCAGTGCTGAAATTCTTGGACTGGCGTTCTGGTATCATTCAGGACCGTCGAGGCGCAACAGCAAGGTTGATTCGTGGCGCTGAGATCCTGGGGTTGGTGCTCAGGCGCGACTCAGGATTTTCAGATAGTTGTTTTCAAACGGGGCACTTCGCTCAGTTGGACTGTATTCTTGCAGGGATATATCAAGAAGGAGCTTGGAGGGAGGGTTCACTGCAACTTCGTTGACGAGTCTTGGGTTTACACTGATCATCCTCATCCTCCTCCTCCTCCTCCTCCTCCTCCTCCTCCCACTCCTCAAGGTCCTCCTCCTCCTCCTTCTCCCCGTCCTCTTCGCTGCCCCCTCGACCTCCTCGTCCTCCTCCTTCTCCTCCTTGTCGTCGTCCTCCTCCTCCTTCTCCTCCTCCTCTTCCCTCGATCTCCTCACTAACGACGAGCTCTATCAATGCCTCCTCTTCCCTACCGTCCTCCAACTCATTCTTCTCCTGCTCCTCCTCCTCCTCCTCAACCTCCTCCTCTTCTCCTCCCTCCTCCCTCCTCCCTCCCCCCTCCTCCTCCCCTGATGCCTTCTCCCCTCTCCTCCATCCTCCTTCTCATCTTCATTTTCCTCCCAAACCGAACCTGCGGAAACGTCCGGAAGCGTTTGAACAGATGTTGAACAGCATCTGAAACCGCATTCGCACTTCTTACAAAACCCATCAAAAAACAGACCAGCCCCGTCCGTCGAATTTGAGAAAACATCAGAACACCGTCGAACCCGAGAAAACTCCATGAGAATATCCGAAATTTACGAGCACATGCTCCTCATCGAAGACTTCATTCCCCCTCTTCCCTCTCGTTTTCCCTGTCCTCTTCCGTCTCCTTCCCCCATTCCTCAGCCTCCTCTCCCTTCCTCCGCCTTGTCCCCTCCTCCAACCTTCTCCCCCGACGACGACGGCACCGGCGACGGCGACAGCTGCGGCGGTGCAAGCACGCTGCGACAGGATGAAGAGGGATGGGAAGTGGGGAGCGAGGCAAGGGGGCAGAGGAGGAGGGTGGGAGGGATGGGCAGGGAGACGAGGAGAGATGAGGAAGGAGGAGGGACATGGGGTGGAGGAGGGGCAGGACAGAACGGAGGAAGGGAGGGAGGGAGAGAGGAAGAGAAACAGAGGTAGAGAGAGAGGGTGTGAGATTAAGAGAGAGAGAGAGATAACAAAAGAGAGAGAGAGAGAGAAAGATATATATATATATAAAGACATAGAGAAAGAGAGAGAGAGAGAGCGACATCAGGAGCGGGGAAAAGAGACAACACAAGGAGAAAGCACTGAGGGATAAATAGATACATGTATATGTATAACAAAGTGTGGATATGGATATACACATGTATGCATGTAGCGGGAAAGGGGGGAGAGGAAACGAGGACGATACACACATACATATGTATACATATACATATATATGAGAGAAAGAGAACAGAGAGAGAGGGAGAGAGAGAGAGAGAGGGCGAGCGAATGAAATAATGAGAGAGAGAGAGAGACGAGTGCGGATTATATATGTATATATATGTGTAGAGAGAGACAGAGAGAGACATAGGTAGAGTGAGAGAAAGAGAGAAAGAGAGAGAGAGAACACAAAAGGAACCACCTATACATATGTGTACATGAATTCACACACACATATATATGTATAGAAATGTACGCAAATACATGTACGCATATATAGATGTACCAATCAGAGCAGCATTATGTACATACATACATACATACATACATACATACATACATACATACATACATACATACATACAACCAAACATACACATCCACATCTAACTCTATATAAGTAATATGCACAGAGAGAGAGCAAGAGAGAGAGAGAGAGAGCAGGAGAGCGAACAAAGAACTGCGCGAAAGAAAGAGAGGGAGAGAGAGAGAGAGAGAGCGAGAGAGAGGAGGAGGATGCACACGGACAGAGACGCGAAAGGAGTAGGTAAAGCAAGGACCGGGGTCTCGGGAACAACGCTACGGTAACATAGGGGACTCTGGAGAAGGACTGGTGAGCCGCAGTCGCTGCATGAGTACAGTAAGGGTACCCCCGCCCAGAGCGGCACACACCACAACAACGACGACGACGGATACGGGGAGAACGTGCGGAGGGGTAGTGAAGAGAGGGAGCGAGGAGGTGGAAGGGCCGGAGAGGAGGTGGCGAAAGGGAAAGCCTGCGAAGGAGAGGGAGGGATGATGCTGATGATGGTGATGGTGATGATGATGATGGTGGTGGTGATGATGATGATGCTGACGATGACGATGACGATACTGATGATGCTTATGGTGACGATGCGGATGATGATGGTGATGATGAGGATGGTGATGGTGATGGTGGTGACGATGATGGTGATGAAGCTGCGGAGGGTTAGGGTTTAGGATGAAGATGGGGATGAGGATGCGAATGGTGATGGTAATGATGCTCATCTTAACTTTGCTGGTGTTGATGATGACGACGATGATGCTGATGATGTTATGGATGAGGCTAAGGCTGTTGATGGTGATCATGCTGGTGGTTATGATGGTGGTGGCGAGGGTGATAAAGCTGAGGAGGGTTAGGGCTGAGGTTGAGGATGAGGATGATGATGATGCTGACGACGATGCTGCTGCTGCTGACGATGATGATAATGACGCCAAGTGGGAGAACGGAAGCAGGGCGAGAAGACGGCGAACGAGGAGGAGAGGGTGGAGGAGGATCAAAGGGCGGCGGACGAGGGAGAGCAGGAAGAGGAGGAAAAGGACGCGGAAAATCCTTTCGAAATGGGGGGGGCATGGGAGAGGAGGAAAACGAGGGAAGAGGGACAGCGTGCAGTGGTGGAGATACATGGGGGGGAGGGACGGGGGAGCAGGAGGAATGTGGGGGGAAGGAAGAGCAGCAATCTAGAGTTCTAACTTGGCCTCGCGCGCGCCCACGAGAGGGGGCACGAGGTCCAGGGGAAGGAACACACTGGCAGCCACCAGGGACGACGGCGGCGGCGGCGGACGAGACGGCGACGGCGGAAACGACGAGACAGACGACCGACGAACCATCCGCAGCGACCCGACCTCGGAAAAGAGGCGGGACGGCAGGCGAGGACAGACGACGACGCTGGCAGTGCCGACGGTGGCGGCAGCGACGACGGCGTCGAGCGGGGGCGCGGCCGCATCGGCGGGGCGGGCGGGCTCCCACTGCGGCTTCTGGGGGGACTTCCACTCCGCCTTCTTCTCGCCCGCCTCGCCGCCTCCGCCGCCCCAGTCCTGCCACTCCTGGCAGGGAGCGGGGGAGGGGGGGGGAGGGAGGGAGGGATGGGGGAGGGGGGAGCAGGAGGGCGGCAAGGGAGGGAACTGGACGGTATTGGCAATTCCTGCTCCTGCTGGGGCCGCAGAGCCTCCACGGCTGGAACCCTTCTGGGATCCTGGTCAGAGCCTGCTCCGAGACAGGGCTGGCGGCTCATGAAAGATGCCGCAGGACCGACAGAAACACCAGGACGAACCAGACCAACTGTGCTCGGAATGGGGTCGAGAGCTCCGGCGGCGGGCGAATCCAACTAAATCGAGCCGACCGAGGTCTGGGGAGGAGTGGAGGGGAGAGATTACTGGGTTCCCCACCCTAGCCAGCCCCATACGCAACCCGCAAACCGTAGTGTGTTGACACGCAGGCCCAACACGCAGATTGAACACGTACGCTTGGCGCGACACGTTCGCCGAAACATGGGACAACATGTTGGAACAAGCGCGTTCCACTACTCGCAAAGCAACTACTCGCAAATGGCCTAGATCTGCCGCGGGGGATTCACGATCCCTTACGTCGAGGCAAACATTGTTTCTCGGACGTTTGCGAATAGGCACTTTGCGAATAGTGGAACGCGCTCGGCGAACGTCGAACCAACACGCAGCGTGCTAAAACGGGCGTTTCGAACACGGTCCGTGTTGCGCTTCAAGGCGGGCGTATCATGGCAGCTCAATTTTCCATCTTTCTGACGCACAGGCAACCCGCGTAATCAGGATCCGCGATACGGATGCAAGGGCATCGGAAGGCCATGCCGACACTTTGCGAGCGGGGCACGGCCAGCGAAAGCGGCCAAAGATGGACCGAGGAGTCAAGGATGCAAGGGTAACCTTGGGAAGGTTGCCCATCCTTACGGTGCGGGCGGACTGTATCGCGTCAGCTAAATTTCCCACCTTTCCTGAGGCATCTCGGGCGGACGGGGGGCGCGACGCCACGGATGGATGCGGGTTTGAATTCTTGCCTGGACGCGCTCACGGGGAGGTCAGGCCAGGGACACTTGAACAGGGGGGGAGGGGGGGGCACAGGAGGAGGAGAGCAGTAGGAGGAGGAGGTGTGCGAGGTGTGCAAACACACGGCACGTCTGTGCCCTCGCCTACCTGCGCAAGAAACCTAAGCGCAGCTTGAGTTCGAGCAGCTTCCGCTGCTTTCCTTCGAACCGGCGCATGTATCCGATCCGTCTGGCGGCGTCCCGCCGCAGAGAAAACTGGCCTAGCACTTTCGATGGCCGTCAGGTGTCGTCGGAGGGGTCGTCAGGCCTCGCTCGATCGCTGGCCTCTCTCCGACGCTCCCCTCGAGCCCACTCCACCGCAGCATCCGGTGAAACAGAAATGTGCAGACTCGCATAGCGGTAAGCGTTGAGTTCCGGAACCCTGAGGCCGCACTGAGCAGCCGGGCCATCAAGACCAGCTGGGGCGCCACTGGGGCCTCGCAGGCGCTGCTCCCACAGCGCTCGCATCTCTCCGCTGGGAGTCACCGAACGACCGAGCATTGGGGGAGGAGTCATATTGGGGTGCAGCCCCCGCCTGAGCCTGGACCTTTGGGTGGCCAGCCCTGGGTGGCCAGGTCCCAGGCAGGCGTCAGCCAACCCTGCTCCTGGCCTGTGGGAGCGGTGCACAGACGCCCCGCACTGCATGCAGAAGAGGGTGGGGGGAAGGGCGCTGGAGCCATCCAGAACTTCCACCTCAGCCTGTACAACCGAGTGCTCGTTCAGCCCCCACGGCCTCCCAACAAACTCAGCACTCCCACCTAAGCTGCGTCCAGCAGCCGCGGAGGCTTCAGTCTCCTGAATCGCAGCCACCTCACGGGCTTGTGCTAAATATGCATTGGTCGGAAGCGCAACTCGGATGCCGTCAACCTCCCGGTCCGACAGCACTCGGTCGAATTGTTCATCCAAGGCTGGATCTGCGTGGTTCGGACCGATATCCAAATCAAGCTGAACATCAGCAGCGCCCCCTACCCCATCAGCGTATGACAAAGATCGGTCGTGCAACCAAGCGCGCAGTCTACGCTGCCATCGAACCACCTGGTCAACTCGGCGCTTGTCGACTGACAAAATCTGCTCTTCCTTGATGCCTTGGTGCCCCAGAAAATGGCGCCCTTCTTGGCCCACTCGTCGGCCAGACGGTTGCCTCTGAGCATCCACTCCTCATCCAAAGATGAGGCTTCAGCAACATGTTTGTGGGCCTTGACCTTGCGCGCTCGCGCCGTGCTGCCATGCTTGCGCCGCCGCGAGTCCCGCGCATGGCGCCTCTCACTCCTGGGGCTGAGCGCCGTGGCAACGTTCGTGGCGCAGCCGATGGAGCCGCTGCAATCACTATACGCATACATCCAGAGGGCCTCCTGTGACAAGATCCTCGCTGAACTCCGCCAGCATATGGAACGCGTGATCCTCCCCGCCTCGAGCCTACTGGTCAGGGCCCCACCCCCTGGGAACAAAGCCGTACATGCAGGCGGCAACATATCCTGCTCTGTCGACTTGCACGGCGGACCAGCCTGCGCGTCGGCTTACACGGCGCAGAAAGAGAAGTGAAACGCCGATCCGTCGACAAATATGGGCACCTTCCCACAACCATCCAGGCGTCGCTCCGACGAGCGGGCCCAGTTTTCAGGGGGGGCCTTGCGACGGTGAAAACATGGCTCGGGGAGGCATTGGGCAAACATCTCCAATTCCTCCTCCCCGAGGCCTAGCACTCTCTCAGCCGCCTCGGCAAGAGAGATTGGGAGCTCGTCTCGTCGGAGCTCAATGGGGCAGTCGCCCTTGAAAGATCGGTGGGAAAGGGCCCCCCTCCTCCCACGACGCTCGCATGCAGTTGAGGTGGCACGCCCGTGCTGTTCTAATCGCGCTTGCGCCCAGTGCGCGCCAGAAATCAAACTCCAGACTGATTTTTCTGTCCGCGCCGACCCCGCGACAACGATGAGGCGCCGAAGAGGGCATTCGAAACGAGCTCCCAATGAAGATTCCCCACCCGACAGGCACTCATGCGCAACGCATGCGCATCTGATAAAAACGTGGCAGACTCGCGGGAGACTGCGACGGCTCGGCCCGGGGGGAAAAAAGTCAGGTTGACGGGGGGTGGCGAAAGCATCCAGCATCACCGCGCTGGATTGCACTATGCAGCCAGTCCTGGCCAGGGCAAGATGGAGGGCCCATGCAGGGTTCGCGCAGTGAGCCCAGGGTTGCTTTAGAGTCAAAATCTTGCGGCCAACATCGAGAACCAAATCCAGCGCCGCCCACGCGGGAATGCCCGTCTCCAGACAAAAGGCCCACGCCTCGACAACTCCTACCGCGTCGACCACAAGAAGGCCCCGCCACGCGCCGCGATGCATGGTGCGAAGCTGGAGGTCGACGCTGGCACCGGCTGGGCGGCGCCACTCGGCCCGCAACGCACTCGCGCACAAAGAATGAAGCTTGCCGCCGGCCAGTCCGGCGACAGCTGACCCCTACACCGCTGCGGCACATGGGGATCCCAAGAAAATCTTGGCTACGGGGGCGCCTGCTTTTTGCAGCCTATGCACCTGGCTTGCTGCCCTGTGCGCTTTCTCCAGGCGCTTGCCCTGCCCGCTGACACTGCGGCGGGCGCCCTCGTTGCCGTCGCCCCCCCCCGAAGAACGGAGACCTCGGCGCCGATGGAGTTCATCGCCCCACTGGTCGCGAAGAAGCGCGGCGAGCAGGATCGCTGGCCATCCAGCCCGTCTTACCCCAGTTGACGCGGAGCCGACGCTCGTGCAATCGTCGAACAAGCAGCGCCAACGCGCTGGGCAACTGTTCAGCCACCAATCGGTTAGCGCCCAGCGCCTGCAGCAAGCAGTCGCCCACCAGCGACTGTGCCCTCACCAGTGGGAGAGACTCCGCCTGCTGCACCAGAAGCGCATGGATCATTAATTTTGCAAGGCCCAGCGCGCAGCTGCAGCCAGCCGCCACGGTGCCGCTCGCGAGGAGGACGACTCCCAACACTCTTCCATAACGAGCTCGTCGAGAAGACGATGCGAACGGCATTCAATTTTCAGCAGCGGCACGGGGAGGCGTATCTTCCGAGCCTCCTCGCGCAGGGCCTCGTGAGACACGCACTCAAAGTACTTACTCAAGTCGAGGCCAGACGCGCCTGCTGCCATGCCCTCCTGTTGCGTGCAGAACGCTGCCAAGAGGTTGTGCACGTGCCCGGCACGATCACGTGCTCGTTCGGCGCCTCCCCAGTAAAAGTTGCCCTCAAGGCCCTGCTCCCACTGGGCCACCAGCGGCTGCCTCAGCCAGGACCAAATCCTAGTCCATAGGTTAGCCAAGATCATTGGTCTCACCCCGCCAGGTGGGAGCTTCGGCAGGAGTGCGACGAGCAGCAGCCAGAGCTGGCAAGGCGACGGGCACCTCTCCCAGAGGTGCAGGATGTCGGTGAACGCCTGGCGGTCGTTTTCGGGCAGCCAGCGCAACTGTGTTGGATGCATCTGACCTCCGCCGAGACCAGTGTCATCCGAGTACTTGGTCAACGCGACATCCAACTCGTCCGCGCCTAGACCTGGCAGAATTGCCGCATCGCAGTCCGGATCATTCCATGAAGGCGGGCCCGAATCGTGCTGCCGACGCGCGCGGGCCCAAAATGACCTCCACTCCCCCGCGAGTACCGTCGCAGCTGCGCCCCCAGCTACTGGCAGAGGTTCGCCCCAGGACAGCTCAAGGCTCTCAATCGTCGTCGCTTGCACCTGACCTTTCACAAAGGCAAACGCGACTTTTCCCGACGTCTCGGAAGCAGCCTGCTTCGCCCACTCGCGCCCTTCTTGGCCCACTCGTCGGCCAGACGGTTGCCTCTGAGCATCCACTCCTCATCCAAAGATGAGGCTTCAGCAACATGTTTGTGGGCCTTGACCTTGCGCGCTCGCGCCGTGCTGCCATGCTTGCGCCGCCGCGAGTCCCGCGCATGGCGCCTCTTACTCCTGGGGCTGAGCGCCGTGGCAACGTTCGTGGCGCAGCCGATGGAGCCGATGC